TCATGAATTTTTTTTGAAAATTCAGTGCAGAATAAAGCATGCATATGTCAACCAATACAGACTGATTAAATATATATTTAAAAATACTGAAAATCAAACTTAAAAGTACATAAAAACTTTAATAAAGTCTAATACTATGGCGCACATTAGATTGCATACAAATACAGTTAGGCAATATACCAGGAGTTTAAAGCACAAAGATGGTATCTGTTATTATGTAGCTAAGGGTATAGGAAATTCCTTACATCCTAGAAGTATTTAAAGTCAGTATTTCTCAGTGTAGTCAATCCAAAGCACCCTTGGTAATTACAATTTTCAGAGTGCCTGAGAACCAGGAGAAAGAACCCTGTAGTTTTAGTGGGAAGAGTCTGACTTAAACTGATTTTTTAAAAGGACATGCTTTTAAATCCTGAGCCATCTCTGAAGCGTGTTCTCTCTCTCTCTCTCTCTCTCTCTCTCTCTCTCTCTCTCTTTTTGAGACAGGGTCTCTCTGTAGCCCCAGCAGGCCTGGAACTCGCTATGTAGACCAGACCTCAAACTCACAGAGAGCCACCTGTCTCTGCCCTCTGCCTCCTAAGTGCTGGGACTAAAGGCATGTGCCACCACGCCCAGCTTGAAGGCACCCCCCCTCCCCTTTTTTTCCTATATGTTTTTATCCAGCTCTTATGGAAATCTTTTGGGCATGGGAATCCAGCATTTGTAACTGTTAGATTTTTTTCATCCTTTGAGCCTTGGTATTTGTACAGCAGCTGTTAAAAACAGGTGATGGACAGGGACTTGGTCATCCATGCAAATCATGTCTCCCTGCGTATTTTACCAAAACATTTCATATACACTTCAAATATGTGTCTACACATTTAGATGCTGGTCAGTGTGAAGGTGAACAGGAAAACTACATAGTGTCTTACTTTAAGAGACAAAATGACCTACAGTAACAGTATGTGAAAGTGCTTTGCAGGCAATGATAGACTGACACTAAAAAAATCGATTTTGTACCCTTTGTATGTTCAGAATGTAACATATTATCAGAAACCCTTAGAAAAAAACAAAGCAAGAAAAAAAGATGCTTAAAAAAAAAAGGTCCCTTACATTATGACAATGCTCCTCCTCTTCCAATATCTTCCTTTTCAATCCTATATTAACCTTGCTGGCCTCAAACTCACACGAAGTTTGCCTGCCTCTGTCTCCCAAGTACTGGGATTAAAGCCCGTGCTACTACGCTTGGCCTTTAAAAAAAAAAAAAAAAAAAAATTCTTTTTGAGAGAAGGTCTTATGTAGCATAGACTGGTCTCAAATTCACTATGTAATCTGATTCTCCTGTCTCCATTTCTCCAGCACTGGGTTTAAAAGTGTACACTATCATACTCAGTGGTATTTTTAGGACGTTTAATTTTTTCTATTACACCATACTGGCAGTACCATATTTGAGAAAATAAGACAAATTTAAGCAAATTTAAGCTAACCAACTTACAGTTGGTGATGTCAGGTGGTGCATAGCCATCATTTATATACATACTTGTGGGTTTTGCCACTTTCAAATAAACAAAATCAGATGTGTTCTTTAAGGCAGTTACTGCTTCTTCATGAGTAACTTCTTCTAAACATACACTGTTCACCTAAAAGAAAATCCAGAGAAATAATTATTCATGTGCTTTTTGGTCAAAAACAATTACTCAAATGATAGGGGATATCAGTGAGCAATTAAAGGAAAATAGCAATGGATAGAAAAGAAAATGCCCATTTTTACTGTCTATACTACAGGGAACGAATTACATACACATGTTAATGAGATAAACAATCTTGATTTCAGCTTCTTTTCCCAGTGTCAACTTCCTCTCATTCTTAAGTATTTAGGAACATAATATGTATAGGCATATTTTAATTAAAAAAAATTCTATACATACGAATGTCTGGTCTGCATGTACGTTAAGTGTACCCATGGTTGTGCAATGCCCACAAAGGTTAGAAGAGGGTGTCAGTCCCCTGGAACTGGAGTTACAGATGGTTGTTAGTCGCCATGTGGGTGCTGGGAACCAAACATGGGTCCTCTGCAAGAACAGTCAGTGCTCTTAACTGCTAAGCCATCTCTCCAGCCCCTTAGCTCTTCTTTTAATGAGATAGCATATTGAGGGCAATAGAATGAACATATGGGATATGAACTCACAGAGATCTAACTCCTCTGGTTCCCAAACGCTGGGATTAAAGGTGTGAGTCACCAAGCTCAGTTTGACCAACTCTTTTAAGTCATGGAATATTTACATTCCCCCACTCATTATGTATATTGCTTTGCAAAGTTTTAGCAGCATGGTGCTTTTTACAGTCTCACGGTACTTTTTATTACAGTCCCTTAGCATGGTATAAGGTAAGGACGACCTGAATATTCATTCTTTGGTGGCCAGCCATGAACCTAACTATCCATCTTGGTATTACACTTGGATTTTTGTAAAAATCCCTTCCTATATAGAATATTGCTTGACCATGTAAACAGGTTTAACAATGACAGAGACTGTAATGCAAAGAGATATTAATGAATGCTACACACTGGACCTTGGCCTGATCGACAGCTCCTTTTTAGAACCTGGCCACAATCCTGTGAGAAGCCCAATCTAGCCACTGGAGAATAAAAACACCTGGCTTTAAAAGCCCCAGTTGAACTCTCAGCTGACAGGCAACACCAATTTTCCTGCCATATATATGAACCAACTTAGACATAGACTGTCTAGCCTTAGTTAGTTGACACTGGTGAAACAAAAATAGGCTATTTCTATGAAGCCTTGCTCAATTTGAAGAACTATATGCAAGTATGTGACTGTTGTTTTTGCCAATAAACTTTGGGTCTTATTTAGCATTAGATAACCAAAGAAATGATAAGATTTGCTGAGGGATTCAATGTGCAGTGTCAAAGAGGACGATCTCAAAGTTTTTAGAGTTGAGCAAAGACATCTGACACTTATCATAGAGCCTTGAGAGTAAGCACTAATAAAGAGAATGGACACAGCCTGACTTCTGAAGAATCATCCTATCATTCAGAGGCTAGAGAGGTAAGAAAGAAATAGGAATGGAGAACGAGAAACAGTGTTAGTGAGGTAAGAAAAGTATCAAATTAGAGGATGACTATTAGGCAAAATAAAAGCTGGGAGAATGAAGGTATGTTAAATACCACATAAGTCCATTAAAATGAGGCTTCAGAATTGCATAATTTCAGTATAATTATAATAAAGGTTTCATGAAAACATGTTCAAGAGTGAATCAGAGTGTTGCTGCTTGTAGCTCAACACAGGTTGCCGGCTTCCTACCAACAAATACTGGTTCTAGACAAAGAGTAAAAGAAAGCACAGTACACATGAAATTAAAACACAAAATCAAAGGCTGAGGAGATGGCTCAGTGGGTACAAGTGTTAAGTGTGCAAGCCAAAGATCTGACTTAGGGCTCTGGAACTCCTGAAAAAAAAAAATCCAGATGTGGGTATGGTGGCACATGCTTTTAATTTTAGCCCTCAAGAAGCAGAGGCAGATGAATCTGAGTTTGAGGTCAGCATGGTCTACATAGTGAGTTCCAGGCCAGCTAGGGATACATAGTCAAATCTTGTCACAAATAAATATCAAACCAGATGTAAAACCACATTGAATTTTTAGAAAGTATCAAGCCAGTGAGTTCCTATGAAGGGGTTGGCGGTGGGCACAGCCAGGAGGTGGCTGTGACCACTCCATCATACAGCACCCTGGTGCACCCTCTCTTGCTGGGGACTGGGCCTGCCAGTGGCGACTGTGTAGTGCACCCATGGTCAGGCAGGCCATCATCATCAACCAGTGGCCATCAAGACCTGGCTACAGTCCTCAGGAGTAATAGGAACCTGGGAAGTCTACAGATTTCAGAAAATAAGCTAGAGGACACTGGTGTAAAGCTGCTGCATGAAGCTGTAAAACTTTCCAACTGCCATTCAGAGAATCTTGGATTGGAGGCCTGTGCTGGATAGCTTTAGTGTCACCTTGACACACCTGGGTTGAGGGAGCCTCAGGTGGGGAACTGCCTCTATTGGACTGGCCTGTGGCCGTGTCTGAGGGGCATCTTCTTGATGAGTGATGTGGGAGGGCCCAGCCCACTGTGGGTGGTGCCACCCCTGGGCAGGTGGGCCTGTGTTGCATAAGAAAGCAGGCTGAGCAGGGGCCAGGGGAGCAAGCCAGTAAGCAGAGTTCCTCCATGGCCTGTGCTCCAGCTCCTGCTTCCAGGTTCCTCCCTGATAAACTGTGACCTGGGAGATGTAAGCTGAATAAACCCTTTCCTCCCCAAGTTGGTACTGGTCTGAGTGTTTTGTCACAGCTATGGAGAACAAACTGAGATAAGGCCTGTGAGCTGATACCTAGAGCTTCTGCTTTTACCCACAGTAAAATCCACTGGGGACCCAACCTGTTGGAGAATGCTTTGGTCCACAGTGGGGTGATTGTGCTGTGTGAAGCCCTGAAAGAGCCAAAGTATAACCTCCGTGTACTTGGGCAGCAAATAAGTGATTCTGATGAGGAAGTCCAAATGTTTATGATCGCTGAGGGAGAGAAAAGTGCTTAAATGACAATCCTAAGTAGTGTGTTAAAAGAGAGACAGAAAATAAGTGTGAAAATCCTATTGCAGGAAATCTGGATGTGTTCCAACCCCAAACCGTGCACAAAGGAAAAGGAGTGAGCCCTTATCCTGGCACATCTGTGTGACAATGACAGATCACTGACATTCTAATGATTTCTCTGACACCTAGTTCTGATGTGTTTTGTAAGATGGATGGGTTTTTTTTTTATTTGCTCTGTGGTCTGAGACAAGCCACTCAAAGATCTTCATGGTAAGTAGAGGACATGAAGGCAGGGGTGAGTTGGGGTGGTGGTGGTAAGGTGAGGGTAGAGGAGGTCTGAATAGGATCAAAATACAATGTATGAAATTCTTGAATCAATAAAAAAATTTTAACAGTATCAAAAGACTACATACAGCGCCGTAGCCTTAAAAGATCCTAAATAATAGTTTAAAAAAAAATTTAGGCGTAAGCACGTGATTAAACAGTTTTTAAGAAGCAAAAGGCTGGAGAGATGGCTCAGTGGTTAAGAGCACTGATTGTTCTTGCAGAGGACCTGGGTTCGATTCCCAGCACCAACATGGCGGCTACAAACCATCCTTAACTCCAGTTCCAGGGGAATCCAAAGCCCTCTTCTGACCTCCGTGGCATTGCACGACATGGGTGCACTCACATACATGCAATACACTCATACACATAAAATTAAAAAAAAAAATTAAAAAGAAAAAATAGCAAGGAATAAGATACATACGATTGTTAGTGTTCTGATTTGGGTGTTGACTAATGATTCACTGGTTTTCACTAGATTAAAATAGACAAGTTAAAACAAAAGAAGGTCATGTATGGCCAAATGGTGACGCTGCACCATAAATTTAAGAGATTATGATTTAAAAGATTTTGATTTAACAATTTTGTGTACTTGCAAGAACTCAACTCTTCAACTAGGAAAGAGAAATGGACATACAGAGGGGTGAGAGAGAAAACAGAAGACAGAGAAGACAGAAAGAATCAAGAGACTGGGCTAGCAGAGAAAAAGGTAATGATACTACCAAGAATTACTTTGCAGTTATCACAAAAGCTGGCTAGAATTCATTCATTTAGACATCATTCAAGTGGCTTTGGTATGGTATTTGATATTTACCAGGCTCCTGACAGGAAAAAAAAACGTGGACATTAAAATGACTTTAAAAACAACACACTTAAAACCAGGCATGGTGGTGCAGGTCTTTAATGCCAGCACTCAGTAGGCGGAACTGTGTGAGAAGGAGGCAAGCCTGGTCTACATAGCGTTCCAGGCCAGGTGGGGCTTCAGGGCGACCCTGTCTCAAAAGAACTCAAAACCAAATCAAAACAAAACATACTTTTTATACTTACAGCTAGAAGCTTATCTCCAATCTGAAATGAAATGCTTCTTCTAATTACGTAGTTATTAAACAAATAATTTTTTAAAAAAGAAAAAAGTAAAGAAACAAATGACAACAAACACTGTAATGTATGTTGGGAGAGAGCCCTATATCCACTGTTGGTAGGTGTATAAGCTAGCTAGCCACAATAGAAATCAGTGTGGAGACTTCTCAAGTAAAAGCACAGCTATCCCATGACCCAGCTACATCACTTCTGTGCATGTATCCAAAGGACTTTACATCCTGTCACAGAGACACACACCTCTATGTTCATTCCTTCTCCTTTCACAACAGCTAGGAAACAGAATCAGCCTAGATGTCCGTTCAATAGACGGATACTGAAAATGCGGTACATAGACACGATGGATTTTGGGGGGGGGTTCTTTTTGAGACAGGGTCTCTCTGTAGCCCCAGCTATCCTGGAACTCTTCTAGACCAGGCTGGCCTTGAACTCACAGAGATCTGCCTGCCTCTGCCTCCTGAGTGCTGGGATTAAAGGCATGCACCACCATGCCCAGCCTTGGATTATTTCTTAAAGTCTTTCCTTAAATGCATTTGATAATCTATAGAGAAACATTATAAAATTTTATTTTACTTTTGTTTCCATTCAAATTGTACTTTTTACTAATATTTTCAAAGAATAAAATAACTGAGAAGAAATAATAAAATTTTCCTTGTTGTAGGCAGAACATCAAGCTTTACAAACATGGACATTTTTTGTCCTTTTTCAATAGCCTCTTAAATTAACAATTTTAAACAATTTCTGCAGCTCCTAAATTTCACAGCTTCAACACCAAATTCTCCACTCTTTTTCATTGCTGGAATTTCACATTTTCTATGAAAGCCAAGAACTGGAATTACTATTTCAACTTATTCTCAATCTCATCAATGTTTTCAAAATTTAGAAATCAAACCTCGCAGTTCCTCAATGCAGAGGTAACTAACTGCCCAGGACACACACTATACGATCTTTTAATGTGACCTATGTTCTGCTTTTAAAGTATCTTGTAGATAGTTAAAAGTTATATTAAAAAAAAATTGAGAAAAAAAAAAAAACAAAAAAAAAATAACAACAAAAAATGTTATATGAATGCTACACATGATTTCAAAGGGACAAAATGTTTCTTTTACTATTAGGAGTCTTTAACAAAATGATACTTAAAACAGACAGGGACTAATACACCTATTAAGCAGATGAACAGGGAGATGGATGGTACTTGCTAACAAGCCTAATGATTGGAGTTTGATCCTCAGGATCTACATGTGGCAAGAAAACTGAATCCTATAAATTGTCCTCTGAGCTCTACACACATACTGTGTCATACCATACCCCCATCTCAAATAAATAAAAGCAATTAAAAAATTAAAGTCAGTAGAGAGGCTGTTCCCTACTTTTCAAAACTTTTTAAAAGACAGGCTATGAAACATTTGACTATAAAAATCACATGAAGGCTGGGGAGATGGTTCAGTGGGTAAATCGCTTGTGGTGCAAACACGAGGACTTGAGCACTGATCCCCATCAGTCATGTAAGAAGCCAAGCACAGGGTATGTGCCTGTAATGTATTCAAAGTATTCAAAGGCAGATACAGGTAGATCCTTGGAGCTTGTTGGCCAGCCAGATTAGCCAACTGGTGAACTCCAGGTTTAATGGGAGAATCTGTCTCAAAAGGTAAGATAGTGGAATGATGTTGACCTCTGACCTTCTTTCTAGGTTCATGCACGACTGTACACATATGTATACACCACACTACACTACACTACACACATACACACATACACAATATCAGATGGAACTCACTGGGCGTGGCTGTACACAGGCCTTTAATCTCAGCCTCTAGGAGGCAAAGGCAGGTTTATGAGTTCCAGGCCAGACCTTGCCACATAGTGAAACTATCTCAAACAAAACATACCTTTAGGACCTTTAGTGAGCTTTATTTCCATTACTTTTTCTGATACTGGTTTCCGTCTTTTTACATATAACCGTACAATGGATCCAGCTTCTTTCAATGCTTCGACTGCTTTGCTGTGTGTTACATCATGAACATCTGCTTCATTTACTCTCAGTATACAGTCATTTACCCTGAGAAAAAAGTTAAATATTAAAACATCAATTTTTTACTTTAGCAATTTTCTATTTTTACTTTCAAGATAGGATTATTTTAAGAAAATATAAATGAAGAAGCTACATGTTAGATTCCAAAGTACAAATACAAACATTTCCTAAGAGGTGGCAAAGGGAGGAAAACAGCGCAAATAATAGAGTATATAATGTTATTATATATAAGCATTAAGATACTTGATAAATAGCAAATATTTATTTAGCACTAACCACATGCTGTTATTTCCTTATTTTAGCCCTTATAACAACCAGTAAGGGAGGTATATCTTTTTATCCACTTTATATATGGACAAACTAATGGACAACTGAATTTTTTGTTTGTGTGGCCCTGGTCTGGAAATCTTATGTAGACTAGGAGAACCTTAAACTCATAGAGATCGACCTGTCTCTCACTCCCGAGCACTGGGATCAAAGATCCCATGTGTGCCACCATAATGGGTCAATGATGAGTTTTAATAGTACTCTCAAGGCTATACAGTGAGAGTTGTATTTAAATAGGAGAAAAATGAAGGCCAAAAATAGTGCCAAAACTGAGACTGACTTATCCAAAAATAACTTGTTTCTTTCATTCTAGATTCTAGAATTAAAAGAATTAAGATTTTCTTGAAAATTGATGTAAAATTAAGGATTGGATTATTTAATTCAAAGTTCTCATGTAAATAATTTTTTTTTTTTTTTTTTGGTCTTTTTGAGACAGGGTCTCCCTGTCCTAGAACTCACTATGTAGACCAGGCTGGCCTTGAACTCACAGAGATTGGCCTGCTTCTGCCTCCCGAGTGCTGGGATTAAGGGAGTGCGCCACCACGCCTGGTTGTAAATAATTAAAAAAAATTTGTTCCTATTTTCAACATTTCGACTTAGTTTTGGTCTCGGTTTTGACTGCATGTTTTTCCAATACAAAAATAAATAAATAAATAAAAAATAAAAAGCAAGTAAGCAGGAAAGGAAATAAAACACAATTAAAATACTAAAATTGGTCCTGACAATCTTCTATAACTAATTACTTTTTCTAGGACAGAAATTCTGCACACCAAGCAATAACAGAGTTACCACTCTAGGTATGTTCTTCAGTTTAAAAAAGGGAACAATACTTTTCACATACGCAACACACAAAAAGGGCACTAATATGATCAGGAAATAAATGTTCACAATTGCAAAATGGTCAAATTCCTAATTTTTATGTCCAATTTCATTAGTATGCTACCTGTCATAACCAGTGAGAAATTCAACTTAAAATCTGAAGAGCTGCATAAGGTAACAACAGCCTTAAAATGCCATTTTAATAGAGTATAGATTATAAAAACCCTTAGTTCTAAAGTTTCAGTCTGTAACATATATATATAAAACAATAAAAGAAACAGGAAAAATGACATAATTTATAGGCCAAGGAAATAATCAAGTTCTAAAAATAAATTTTTCCAAAAGGGAATATTATCTAAATAAGAGATCAATATTATTTTTACAGTTTGTATATCCTTTATTCAAAAGCTACTGAGGAATATACATGTGTAATAGAGGAACATATACATGTTTATTTTTTTTTGCTGGTACTGTGGATTGAACTTGGAGTCTTGCTCATGCTAGGCAAGCGCCCTACCACTGAGCTACATTCTCAGCCCTTGGCTTTTTGAAGCAACTCACTCTATAGTCAGGCTGACTTTAAAAACTCTCAACTGGGGGGTTGGAGAGATGGCTCAGCGGTTGAGAGCACTGACTGCTCTTTCAGAGGACCCAGGTTTAATTCCCAGCACCCACATGGCAAATGGCAGCTGTCCTAACTCCAGTTCCAGGGGATTTGATGCCCTCTTCTGACCTCCGAGGGCACTGCATGACATGAGTGCACTTACACACATGCAGGCACTACACTCATACATTAAAATAAAAATAATAAAATATTAAAAAAAAAACCCGAAAAATCTCAACTGGGGCAAGGAAATAGCTCGGTAGTAAAGTGATTGCCATGCAAGTGTGAGTGCTAGAGTTAGGATCCCCAGCACCCAAGTGCCTGTCCTAATTAGCTTTAAATTATTTGTTTACTTATTTATATTTAATGTGTATGAGTATTTTGCCTACATTTGTGTAAGTGCACCACATATGTGCCTGGTACCCAGGGAGGCCAGAAGAGGGCAATGGATCTTCTGGAACTAGAGTTACAGATGGTTGTTATCCACTACATAGGTTCTGGGAATTGAACCTGGGTGCTCTTCAACAACAGGCTGTGCTCTTAATTGCTGAGTCATCTCTCTAACCCCCTAGTTAGCTTTAATTGTCACTTGATACAGCCTACAGTCAAAAGACTCCTCAACTGAGGAATTGTGAAGATTTGACTGGCTGGTCAGCATGCCTGTAGAGGACTGTTTTGATTGTTAGTGTTCCTCCATGAACCTTGCCTCAAGTTCCTGAAATTTTTGCTTGCCCTGACTTCTCTCAATGATGGATGGACTGTAACTTGGAAGTATAAGCCAAGTAAATCCTTTTCTCTCCTATGATCCTTTTGGTCATGGCATCTGTCACAGCAAAGCAACAGAATGAAACTAGGTCAGTGGGTGCGGCAGCCTGCTTGTCATCCTAGGCCTCAGGAGTTAAGACACGTTATGCCTAGAACAAACTGGCTAGCTAAGTTAGCTAGACTAGAATTGATGAGCTCTGGGCTCAGCATGGGGTCCTGCCAAAATGTGTAAGATGGAGAACTAACGAAGACACCTGATATCAACCCCTGGTCTTTACCTACATGGGTACACAGATGCATGGGCACATAGATGCATGTGCACTGCCCCTACATCTAATCTCTGCAATGCAAAAAACCAAGCAAACATGGAAACAAATCACCTTCCAAGTGCTGGTAATACAGACATGCACCATTATATCTGTTTTCCTATGAATCTTATGTAGGTTTACATATAAGGCAAACCTTCTATGTACAGTATCTTATACATATTTCCTAACTAGAAAAGAAATTGAAAATATTCTTGTTAATTTATCTAAAAACACAAAGGTGAACTCATGGTTTCTATAAATTTGGCTATAAACATTTAAGCTATCAAAATTTATTTTTCAAAATATTAGAATATCTAAGATAAACCCAGATTTCTAAATGAAAAGATGTCAACAAGACAAAGAACAAAATGATCTTATTAACTGAAATCATGTTTGCGCATCACCTATGTGAGCTATTATGACAGTGTGTCTTATTTGTGCTACCACTTGCAGTCGAATATCCTGGGGTCCCTCTGGAGCAGCACCTCTACCCTGTTACACTGGGGTGCTCATCACAACCTCAAGTTTACGACACACCGCAACCTTCCACCTTGGGCAGCTGCTCCTCCCGTGATAATTTTGGTGATGAAAATACTTGAGTCATCTCCAATGTGTGGGTTGTCTGTACCTCCTGCAATGCTGAAACCAAGCCCTGAATTTCCCTAGGGATAGAGGTAAAAAATTCCAGACAGTAAGAATTATTTTGTTGTTGGCAAGTTCTTGTCATTGTAGGATCTAGAAACTGTACTAAAATAGGGAATACAACCCAGAAAGATATATGCATGAGTGAGTAAGAAGATTCAAAATTAAACAGACGTGTTCTTCAAACAAGGAAAAAATCTCTTCAGTGGTATTATTGCTCAGTAGGTGAAACTGAAGAAAATGTACTGAATGAGTACCTCTGAAATCTAGTTTGCAGTTCTTTCTTTCCAAAATACATGCATTTTTTTCTGTGGATTACTATCCACCTGCAGAGGCATAGCACTACAAATGTCTTTCTTTTAAACTCTACCTCATCTATATTTGGTAAGGCAAATCTCTGCCAAGAGACAATGACTGATGTGATCTTTCTGCTGTCTTTATTCATTTATTTTGTTTATTATTTTTAGAAAAGTCTTGCTATATAGTCAATACTGACTTCTAAATTGAGGCAATCCTCCTGGCCTAAGGCTCCTAAGCGCTGGGATTGCAGGCATGCCAGAATGTCCAGCTTGTGTCTATATTTCTGAAAGCAGGTTCAGTCTTTGAAAAAGGGGGTGGGTGTGGTGTTTCTCTTCTGCTCATTTAGATAGTCACTTAAAGTGTCCAAACTGGAGCTGCTAAGTAACAGCTTCTATTAATCCTTGAGGTGTTTAACCAATATGCCCAACTACCAAAGGGCTTTTTTTTTTTAAGTACTGAAAAGCAAATCTGAGAACTTAACATTGGTGAGTTTTCTTGATGGCAAAATGAACTCTGCTAATGCTTGCCTTACTGTTTTGCTTGTTTTACAAACTGGAAAAAATGAAATTCTGAGTATTTACTTACAGAAAGTGTCCTAGAGCCATAAAATGTCTTTAAAGAGAAATGACATTTCTTTGCTCTAAGAAAAGGCACTTAAAATGTTTATTTTCTCAAGAATTTTCTGAAGGTAGCTTTCAGGCAATTCAAGTAAGTGGGTATATCTGTCCTATTACTTAACAATTCATATTAAATAGCTTAAGCAATCAGTCTCCCACCATTTATCCTAAGATTCTAACTTTTTTTTCCAACCTAAATTCTTTAAAGAATTAGTAGAATCTCAATACTAACAACAGACTGTGGGAGGCTGTCAAGAAATTTAAATATTCAAGTTATTCAAATAGTGAAAAGCATAATGCAAAGTCCTTAAACTAAACATAAGGAATTTAAAAGGCATTGAGAAAGGATGAAAAATGAATAAATCGAACAGCAAAAGATGTCATAAAATGCCACATTAAAATATGTTCAAGAGATTAATACTCCGCTTACTTGACTGTTACTGAGGCATCCACCTAACTTGAGCAGGTGACCTAAATTTAAGTAGTAGGAAATAAAGATCTATTACACACGTAAAAGACCCTCTCAGGTCTACTTAATTTTCTGAGCAATGTTCGTTCTGGCTTCAAATATGATCAAATTATCTGACATTTTAGTTTTTAAGATGCAGACATCCTGCTAACTTTGGAGATTTACTTGTGTGGAATACTTAATTGTATGAACACACATATACACTTATCCTATATGTGTGTGTATATGTATATTTGAGACAGGATTTCATGTAGCTCAGGCTTCCTTGAATTTGCTCTGCAGTAAGATTGGCTTTGGACTGATCCTCCTCCTGCTCCCACCTCCGAAGTACTGGGAACACAAGTGTGTGCCACCATGCTCAGCTAGCATGCTGCTTTCTTAAAATGAGTATCTTTAATTTTTTATTTTATTATTATTATTGACAGGATCTCACTATGCAGCTCTGGCTGGCCTGGAACTCACTATATAGGCCAGGCTGGCCTCAAACTCAGAGATCTGCCTGCTTCTATCTCCCAAGGGCTGAGATTAAAGGCCTGTGCAACATACCCTACAAAAGTGAGTATCAAGAGTGACAGTTAAAAAGAAAATTTTTAATTTTACAAACTATTATTGTCAAATTTTTACAAACTACCATTGTCTAGAGCACCCTAAAGGGATAACTAAATGTAATGTAGTTTCCTGGATGGTGCCCTAGAAGAGAAAACATAAAAACCAAGGAAATAAGAGGCTTCAATTAATAATGCACATATATTGGTTCATTAGTTGAAACAAACATATTGTAACAAAGTCAGATGTTAACAACAGAGAAAGCTGAGTCCAGAGCAAATGGGAATTCTCTGTATTACTTTTATACCTTTTGTGTAAATCTAAATGAACTCAAATGCTATTAAAGAAAATAAGAACTCTGAAAACACCATGACTAATTTTATGATCTGTGAACTTACAAAAGAAAACATTCTATTTTTCAGGTTTGAAAGACTTTCTCCCTTGCATTCTATGAGCAATATATTAAAAATTTCTTTAAAGCAACAGATTAAGATAATAGTTTTTACCCTTTCAAGTGTAATTTCTTCATACTCATAGTCTGCGTCAGTGCCATTAACCTAATGGGGGAAAGAGAAGTAGCTTAGAAATTCAGGGTGAAAAATCTGAAATGGCAAGATAATTCTGCATGATTTGTTAATGAAAACCTGTTAAATGTGACACTGATCAAACAATACAGCTCCATTTTAGTAGTTTTAGGAAAGATTTATAAAGAAAGGAAGCATGTAAATGTGACTGACCACCTTGTAGTATCGTTAGCATTCACAGTATCATGACTTCCAAACACAGCGGCAAGGTGCACTTGGTTTTTAATGTTACTGAACTCTGACACTTGTCTTGAGCCACACACCAATCAGTTGTCAGGGCTTCCTAACTTAAATACTGTAACTTTTGTAAAACATTATCACTTGTTCAATCTCATTGTAAATACTCTGATTCAGGGCTTTGGCTAAACTTCCTCTGGGATAATGCAAAGGAATATAATCTGCCCAATCATTTAGATTAGTAGTATTCACTGTTCAAATAGTTCTGTGTCTTAATCAGATAGATCTTTTTAAAGCCCAGGCTGAGACCATAACAAACTTCCTTCAAAATGTTCAGAAAATTTCCTTTTCTAAAATCATTTAAAGTCTATGGCTTGGTAATCAAGGCTCTGCGTGAACTCACCCCCATCTAACCACTTACCTTCGTTCTTAACATATGTTTCATCTCTTCATGTCCCTTACATACCAAACAATGTGAATGACCCTCTCTTTTACTTACATACCCTGCAGTTTCCCACCTCCACATTTCAAATTTTATATTTCCTCTGTTACAAGTTTTCTATCATGTGGCTGAAGAGATGGGTCAGAGGTTAAGAGCACTGGTTACTCTTGCAGAGGACCTAGGTTTGATTCCCAGCATTCACATGGCAGCTAACAACCATCTGTAACTCCAGTTCCAGGGGACTGGAACCCTCTTCTGTCCTCAGCAGGCACTGCATGACGGGTGCATTTATATACACGCAGCCAATATACCCAATACATAAGAAAAAAAAATTTTTTTTTTTAATTTACTTAAATGCTTCATGCCCAAGTTAGACTCAACATTCAAAAGACCTTGGTTGTATCTTAGGCATCAAACAGTTTCTTTTATTCAATTTATTCTTCAGTTTATTCCCTATGGTCTCTTAAAAGAAGCCTTCCCATCGTGAGGGTCACTGGTGAAGGCTTTAAAGTTCTTGGAATCAGATCAACCTGTGTTTGAATCCTTGCATTACAATTTGTAATGATAAGGGGCTAGGCAATATACTCAATCTAAGTCAAAAGAGATTGTGATGAGAGTATATTCTGAAGATGGTTCCCATCTTTCACCCCTCATGTTTTCAGTATCACTAAATCATTCTACCATCAAAGAGTAGAGCCTATTTCCTTTCCTCTTGGATCCAGGTAATGCCTTTAGTAAAGGCAATGTGGCATCAATGATGATGAGTGGTTCTGAGCCTAGTCCTATGATGCCTTGTAGTACTTGCCTTTGCTTTACAGTACCTTTCTTAGAATCTAGCAGATATAATGTAAGGAAACTCAAAAGGCCTAAGGGCAGATCCAGATGAAGGAAAACCAAGATCCTCGGTTCTGAGCCCCAGCTTCAATCTTAACCAAGTAGCCAGCCCCAACTGCTATCCAAGCTTATGAGGCCATTTTGGATTTTCTAGCTTTTACCAGTATCCCATCCCAAACTATGTAAGCAGAAGAGGCATAGAGTTAACCCACACAGTTATGAGAAATAATCAACTGTTCTTTTAAGCCATCAGCTTTTGGTGTAGCTTGTTATACAATGGGAGATAACCACAACAGAAATAATGAAAATATGCAAACTACTTTGCGTTCTTCATTATACATAAGCAACTGATCCTTAATTCAGGTCTAGTATGGAAAACTAGAAGTTTTTTTTCTTGAGGCTTTTGAAATCTGTATCTACTGAGAGACATGAAAGAATACTTGAGTAAGACAAGATTTGCTGCTCGGCAAGAAGATAATGCAAGACTGCAATTTTTTTTCTTTCAGAATCACCTGTAAATTTTGCATAGCTCCATTTATTTCTTCAGACCATTCACAGCTGAAAGGGAGAGGAAGGAAGGAGGGAGAGAGAGGAAGGAAGAGGGAGAAAAAGAGAGAACATGCTGCACATGCTTTGGACAGTTGGAGTCAGACATAAATGATTCATTCATTTAGTTAGGCTGCCCAGTGGTTACTAGCCACATGTTGCTGTTTAAATTTAAACTGATTAGAACTCAATAAAATTTAAGTTTCATTCTGTTGCGGGTGACACTTGATGTTGTATGTGTTAAATCTTTCTTACAACCCAAGGATAAATTCCACTGATTATGGTGAATGACATTTTTAATGTGCTTTGAATTCAGAGTCACCCTACTGTTAGTCTTATTAAAAACTCTGTATATTTCCTTTTTATATGATAACTAGGTATTTCACATCTTTGTTATAATTTATGAATCCATAATTTCAAGTGGTTGTTACATACTGGAACAGTATTTATTATTTTACTAAATCATATACCATTTAATTACTGGTACATATATGCCATAAAGAAACACAAAAAAATTGTAACAGATGTCTTTAGACTTTTATTGACACAGATTTTAATTTTCTAATTAGAAAACGCTTAATACATTCAAATCTGAAAAATCCCCTTAAACATGTAAGTCTTGGCCAAAGGAAGAAAAAGATGCTTAATCTGTGAATTTCCTACAGTTGTGGTTCGATTTAGTAATACCTTTCTTGTTACAGAGTTATATGTTGACATTCAAGATTTTAAAAAAATATTTTATTATTTTTATTTTGTGTATGATGTATATTATTTCTTGCTTTTTAAAAAATATTTCATTTTTTTTTATGTGTATGAGTGCACTGCCTGCATGTATGTGAGTGCACTCATGTCGTGCAATGCTGTGGAGGTCAGAAGAGGGCTCTGGATTCCCCTGGAACTGGAGTTAAGGACAGTTCGAAGCCACATGTGGGTTCTGGGAATCAAACTCGGGTCCTCTGCAAGAGCAGTCAGTGCTGAGCCATGTCTCCAGCCCCGACATTCAAGGTTTTATGGATCAATATTCATGCTTCATTGCTCACACTAGTTAGTATACAATCTCAGGTAACCAAAAGCTACAAAGCCTATACTACCGCAAGCCAAGAACCTAAAAATAAAAATGTATGGAAGAAAAAGTTCTTCCTACTGAAAAATTAACTAAATAAAAAGTGATAAGCCCTAAAGAGTTTGCTTAAAATTTGTCCTAAATAATGAATCTAGGTAGATTTTAAAATACTATAGCTATCAATAATATATGTGAAAAAACTGAAGTTTTTACCACATAAGAAATGTATCAAATCTCAACTGAAAAATTTTCCTAACATTTAACTTTCAGGATCTGTCTTGAGAAAAATAAAGACAGAGGTAGGGGATGATTTTAATGACTTTATTTCATTTTTTTCCCTCTTTAATGGAACCCGTAAGAAATCTAGAAATTTTGTTCTTCATTTTGCCTTCCATTACACTTTTACAATTTTATTTTAAAATTTTACATTTATTTATTGTTTGTGTGTACGTGTGTGTGTGTTGGGGGGGTGGCATCATAATCTGCATGTGAAAAATCTTGCTTGTGGACCTGGAATTTAACATTTCCTTATATGGAAACACTAATACATCATACCAAAGCTGTAATTTCTGAAACAGCCTAAGAGCAAGACTGGATCTTAGCTGGTTTCTGAGAACTGGATTTCAGAAGTGTTTCTATTTCTTAACTGTTAAGGTAGTTATATTTAATATGCCTAAAGACAATGCATTTTATGTCAAACATCTGCTTTCTTCTTTAGACTGGAGATTTAGTATATGCTAGACAAAAGATGCCTATGTGACCAGTTAAAAACAAAACATTGGGCACTGTGTCATCCTGGACTTCCCTGAGCAGAAATACATGTGGCTGTATTTTCCTTGCAGATTGAAAGACTACTATGTTTAACCCCACCCCCTGCCCCTCCATGGGAGGAAACAAGCCTAGTAAAATCTAATAATGAATTTCTCCAGATACATACATAGTCTTATGACCTGACTGAAGAGCCTCACATACTACATGGTTATATATTAAGGTCACGTTGGATTTTTAGATTTATTTTGTTTTTATTTTGTATGCATGTTTGTGTGTGTGTGTGTGGCACATGTGTGAATAAGTGTGTGGCAGCCAGAGGACAGGCTTATATGCTGTTCTTCAGGTGTTGCTCATCTGGTTTTTTGAGACACAGTCTCTAGCATGGAACTCATCAATTAGGTTAGGCTGGCTGTAACTATAGGGAGCTGCTGATCACTGCCTCTCCAGTGCTGGGAATACAAAGACAGGCCACCACATCTGGGAATTATTTTTATTAATTAATTAATTAATTAATTAATTAATTAAAACATGGGTTCTGGGGATTGAGCCAGGTCAAGTACTTTATAACTAAACCATCTCCCCATCCCTAGTTTAATTTTTGAAATAGGGTCTTCTTGATGTAGCCAAGACAGCCTGGAATATAGAATGTAGCCCAAACTGTCCTCAAATTCACAATCTTCTTGCCTCAACCTCTTGAGCACTAAGATTACAGGTATGAGCCACTATACCTGGAAGCTACTAATATATTGTTTTAACTATGAATAAACTACATTTGTCTTGAGACTTTCCAGCAAATCTCAAGTCATAGGGGTTGTCTAGAAGGCTCTCAATGTATCCTGCTTAGCAAGAATAGTATTTGTCAACAATATGCCAAAAAAGTTGAATGTCCTGGTATTTTCTCTAAAATGTATATTTCCTTTATGATACTGTAATTTTGTTAGCTTTATATTAAAAAGAGTTTAAAATAAAAATATAAAAATCACTGACTCTATTCGTAAACAAAACATACCTCAACGAAAGACTTAGAGAAAGTATGCAAAGGAAAATGTTAACAAAAATACAAAATTTTGGGCCAGCCAGATGGCTCAATGGGTAAAAGTGCTTGCTGCCAAGCCTGATGACCCAACTTAGATCACTGAAACTCACAAGGGGGAAAGAAAGAATGAAATAATGATTCTCAAAGGGGGAAAAAAAGTGAAAAACAGCTCACTGGACTTGGTATTAAGTTCTACTTCAAGTTCTTTCAAAGATTTCCAAATACATTATGTATTCATATTTATATGAACACAGGATAAAAATGCTTAAAGTACAGACTGAAAACAGATTAAAAAATGGGTAAAAAGGGCTTCCACTGTCTGTAAAAATAATACATTATTTTTTTTAAAAAAAGAACTCAACTAAAATCTTACCATTTGTCCTACTCGATGTATGGAAACCTAGTTCTTAATCTCCAAAAACATTTTTCTTTTAAATGAAAACTGTCAGATCAGATACTACTGTTCTGGTTATTGATCTTGAAAGGAAAAAATGGCTTTTTAACAAAGTTAAGTTTATAGAAAAGTACTAGTCAATTTAAAATCACAGTTATAACTAATGTTTCATCATATGAATAAACATACACAACCCAGTTCACTAAAAATCCGCATCAGTGCCATTAACACAACTGAAAGAATGACTGTGACAAAAAAGCATTATGTAGCCGGGCATGGTGGTGCACGCCTTTAATCCCAGCACTTGGGAGGCAGAGGCAGGTGGATCTTTGTGAGTTCGAGGCCAGCCTGGTCTACATAATGAGTTCCAGGACAGCTGGGGCTACAAGGAGACTCTGTCTCAAAAAGAAAAAAAAAAAAAAAAAAAAAAAAACAATTATAAAAAACAATTAAAAAAAAAAAAAAAAAAAAAAAAAAAAAAAAAGCATTATGTAAAAGACTAAATAAAGTTATTACAAGTATGTAAAACCTTTAGTACAAGTTAATCATTGTAACTTTAAAATTAAACCATAAACAACTATTTCAATATTTCTGCTTTGTATAAGTATGAAAACAAACACCTAAAACAAGATAATATGGTTTCATTTTATCAATCGTAGGTATAGTATTGTAGAATATTTTGCTTTTTAAAAAAGGGTCTTGTCCCATGTAAGCTTAAGCAGAGAAAAACCCAGCATAGAACTGTGGGTATCGGCAGCAGGCCCCAATCTTAGCTGAAGAACTACTGGGCAGCTGATAATACTAACTGGGTGAGGAAGGGCTGATCTTCTTTAAGGGAGTGACTCTACATAGGATGACAACACACCAGCAGATGAAATTATATTGAGTGACGTCAGAAGACACTAACTTGACTTGACAGACCTTAACATAAATGGCAGAATGCCTGAAATCCAGTGGGGGAGGGAGTGGCTATGGGAGGGTGCTGATGGGGAAGGGGGTATAAAGAGGATTAAGATGTTGTGTATGAAATACACAAAAATTTGATTAAAAAATATTAAAAAGACAAAAGAGTTTATGTATCCCAGGCTGGTTTCAAACTCACTATGTAGTCTAGGCTGACCTTAAATGTTTGAGCCTTCCTTCAGTTTCTAAAAGGTCAGAATTACATGTGTACACCACCATGCCCAACTTTGCAGTGGTGGCCTTAAAATAAAATTAGAGAAAATAATGCAATGGGGTCTTTGTAATGACATAAGACAGGCAAAATTATTTAGTCTACTGACAAAATGAAACTCACGTAAGTTGGCGTTTCTAAGCTGCCTGTGTTGACCAGTACTGGAGGAGGATTTGCCTGTAAAAAAAGAATTGTAAAGTGTTAGTGTACCAAGGACATCAACATACTACATATCAAGGTTCCAAACGGTGGCAGCATAAGATTTGCTGTTTCTTTTTGCTTTGTTTTTGTAAGACAGGGTCTGGTTCTATAGCCCCGTCTGGCCTTGAATTTATTTTGTCTTTTTGAGACAGGGTCTCCCTAGCCCCAGCTGGTTTGGACTTGCTATGAAGATCAGGCTGGTCTCGATCTCACAGAAATCTACCTCCCTCCCTCTGTCTCCAGAGTACTGGGATTAAAGGTATGTGCCACCACTCCCGGCTTAAAAGTTTTCTAAGGGATTCAATGCTCTCTCTGGACTCCAAGGCCACCAGGCATGCACATGATACACTTATATACATGAAGATGATACTTATACACATAAAGATAAAATCTTTTTCTTAAAAAAAAGGTAAATTAGGTTTGCTTTTGAGAAATAAAATGCTATTTCTTGTATTTTATTCCCCTTTGCCATTTGTGTGTGTGTGTGTGTGTGTGTGTGTGTGTGTGTGCGCGCGCGCGTGCCCTTACTACTTCATCTAATTTATCAAGGCAGGTCTCTAGATTAAAACAGAGGCACACTGACATGGCTAATCTAGCTAGTCCGCTTCCTCTGTGGATCTCCTGTAGATACCTTTCAGGGTTAGAATTACAGGCAGGAGAGCATGCCCACTAAGCACGTTGGAAGATTCTGGGGATCTGAACTCTTGTCTTCATGCTCCTGTGACAACAGCTTTATACCCTGCTCAACCATCTCCCCAGCCCCCGACAGACCAACATTAAAATGATGAAAGAGCTCTTCTGCAGTAGTAGTTTTCCATTCCTAAGGAGCCCATAACGATTCCAACAAGGCTGAGTGCTGCGGCACATAAGCAGGCAGATTAGCACTGTCTACACAGTGATTTCCAGGGCAAACAGCCTACAGAATGAGTCCCCCTCAAATGCTGATAGACAGGAGTCCAATCATTTTATCGCCCAATTGTTTTTGACAAAGAAAAAAAATCCCTTCAAAACAAAAACAAAACTCTGCCACACAAGTCAATCACACACAAAAACATAGAAATACTTTCTCCATGTAAAAGTTCCAAATTATTGTAGAATAATGTACATCTATTTAAGTTTGAAATGAAAACAGCTTGGTTTCTAGGTAAGCAGTAGTTAAATTTTATGTGGGTGATACTAAGGAATAAAACTTAATACCAAATGGAAAACATCAGAAAAGGTAAATTCTCAAAATTGTTTCTTCAGAATAGCTAAGATTTTTTTTTTTTGTAAAAAGTGCTAAACAAACAATAGTCTCATAGACTAAAGAAGATGATTATCCCTTTAAGCAAACTTTAGGAGATATATGCTAATAAACATTAATATTTTCCAAGGAATTAAATAATTATACAGAAAATCTGTATGAAAATACATTGTAACACAAAAGTTTTCTTCCAAATATGTAGTCTAGTTGTTTATTTGTTAAATTTTTTGTGTTTTTGAGGCAGAGTCTCACAGTGTAGCCCAAGCAGACCTGGAACTCTTTATGTAGCCCAGGCTGGCCTTGAACTCACAGCAGTGCTCCTGACTCAGCTTTCCACATGATGTAATTACAAGTGTAAGCCACCAAATTCGGCTGTGTGCAGGCTATTTATAAAAAAAATGTTTTTGATTATTTATTTTTATTTTATGTGTATTAGTATTTTGCCTGCATGTATGTAAGTGCATTCATGTCATGCAAAGCGTTGGAGGCCAGATGAGGGCATCAGATTCCCTGGAACTGGAATGTCAGACATTTGTTAGCTGGCATATGGGTGTTAGGAAGAACACCAGGTCCTCTGGAAGAACAGTCAGTGCTGGTAACCACTGAGCCCTCCGACACCTGAGGTTTTATGAACATTTGAAATTACTCAATTCTCAGTGGCATACCGAGATTATGGAAATTGGTTATTTTACTTTATGATATATCTTCACTGTATTCTGCCTAAGCTGTCTCAGAGGAGGAGAACAAGACAGAAAAGGTTACTTAAAGTTATGAAAGAAATTACATTCTTCAACAGTTATGGGAAGAAAGTCACTTGGTTCTCTCTGCTTATCCATATCAATCATGCAATGGGAAAAGTGGGCATTAATGGAAATCTAATTTATACCACAATTATTACAACATTAGCTGCCTGTCAGTATCAATTCATCATCATTGTCTAGATGTTAGCTTTGATTCTAATCATTTAAAGTCTTCCTAATATTGGAGTATCTATGAACAAAACAAAAATAAGGTCTTATGTTTACTTTAAGATTAAACAATGGGGAATAATAAGGAGTATGAATCAAGTAGGAGTGCACATGAATCAATGCCTGGCTTTGGCTGAGTAATGAGTACACATGGAGTTATTTTATACTTTATAATTGAGTATTTTTAGACATTTGTAAAACAAAATTAAACAAAACCATACTGAGTGAAGTATTCAATTTTTAAGAGGTCAATAACTAAGATAGTTGTGAAGTTCTATGGGTTAGAGTTGTTAAGATATTCACATTCAAACTTTAAAACTGACTTTATTGCTTCAAGTTCATTTCAGAATAAAGGTTCTATACAGACTGGTAAAAATAATTTGTCACTATGACAAAGAATATTAGAAAAGCAATATATGCATAGTAAGTTTTGTCTACAGATGTAGCTCAAAATTAAAATGAATGACCACATATGAAAGGAAACCAAAGGAAACTTTGAAATAGCTTATGGAGAAACCCAATAAATGTTCACATTCAGAATTAAGAATTTCAATAAAAGATAAAGAAACTCTAGAAATCTGAAAAATGTATCATAAAAGGTGTTAAAATAAGAGGACAAAGAAATGAAACTCAAGTGGCAAAACAGCATGTAATGTTTAGCCACCTAAAATAATGATAAAAATATCAAGATGAATTAGATGGGGAATTAAAACATCTACCTTGCAATGTAAATTATACCCTTTCCCACGTACTTTAAATTTTCTAATTTTACATATCGCAAAAAGTAGACATGCTGTTTGTTAAAGTAGTATTACATACCTTTCCAATTTTGTGTAAATAGTAACAGAAATGGGTGTAACAGCACACTTTGAATGGAGAAGGTACGATATATAACTCAGAAAGACATAGTACCACAGCACCAAACTAAACAGCTACTCTACTAGCAAAGCTAAAGGACAGGTTGTTTCCGACTAAAGACAGAATGTAGTTTTAGGTAGTCGCAACAAATAAGAAAACTAAAAGTGGACCCTTGGAAACCTTAACTAAGAGGGCAGGTACCATGTAATTATTAATGATCAACTTTGCTTATAAGGAAACCAAGTAATAGAAGCACTTGAGAGGAATTTGTGAAATTTATTTCAAGTGGAAAGCAAATAGATAAGAAACACTCCCTATGACTCACTTCAAATGACACTGTATGCCAAGACCTGGTCTATGGTCTCTATTTCACCATTACTCAATGTCATTTGATATAGTAAATCATAATTATTGTTGAAACTCTTTACCTAAGAAGACTGTGTGAGGGTCCAAGAACTAATATAAACGAAAACATGTTATAGACCACAGAGTTACACAAACAATTATCTATTATTACATACTAACAAATATAGCACTGTATATGTTTCAACTTGAACAAGGAAGCCCTACAAACCTGAGACTAGGGGGAAGGGGAGTAAAAGGCCAAAGATATTCCAGAGAGAAGAATTAATATGCTAGAAGGAATGTGACTAGCGCCAACAGTGACAGTTTTAGAAAAGTTCATTTTGCTTAGCCACGTTTTATTGCTCTATTTCTTTAATAACGTATCTTGTAGTGACTGCTGCTACACCAAGTTACAAAAATTCACAGCATTCCTAAATGACTAACAACAATAATACACAGTGAGGTGATAGAGATGTAGTTAAGCAAAATTCTTAACAACTTAGGGATCTAAGTAAAAGTTTGAGACATCTTTGTATTATTTTGCACCTTTCTATGAATCTGGAGATTTGAAAAAATAATACAAAACAAATAAAAATCTTCTAGAAAGCAATTAATAAAGGAACTTCAGTTAAGTATCCATGTATAATTTTAAGAGTCATCAAGATAATGTCAAGGATGCTATTTCATTCACGATTACTTATAAAATGAACACACCAAGTCAACAATACTAAGCACCCAATAATTTAAAACTCAATACTCTTATGTACTGCAAAATCTGAAAGGCCCAGAAGCCAGAGGATGCTTTGCAGTAGACTATACCTCTAATGCAATTACTCTCATGTCATATGGAAATTAACTGTCAACTTGTATCCTCTACAGTTAGCAGGTTCTTGTGGGATAGCAGATATTATTAGTATCTACAGCAGTCTCCCTGAATTACATGGCTATGTTCCAAGATATTCCACAGATGACTGAAACAACGGGGCAATACTGTACTGTGGTGTGTGTTTGTGCACAAAAACCTATGAAAAAGCCTGATTTATAAACTGGCCACAGAAAGAGGTTATCAATAGTTACTAATAAAGTAGAACAACAATATCCTGTAATAAAAATTATTTAAAATGTATGAGTCAGTGACTTATAGGAATTTCCATATAATATTTTTGGACCATCATTGACTATAAGTGGAACTGCAGAAAGCCAAACGTTGTATGAGGAAAGTGTACTACTGTATATGACTGGAACAATTACAAGAAAAATGAATGAAAACCAACCTATTCTGAAGAGCACATCTGAATACCAAAAAGGACTTACATATACTCAAACACACCTCCCCCCAGAGAGTGAGAGGATGAGAGAGCGAGAGAAAGAAAGCATTTGTGCCAAACTTGAATTATAGGCTAGCTCTTCAAAACTGGCAGAAGTAAAAGCTTAAAGCATCTCGTTTTAAATATTTTATTATTTTTAGTTTTTGTGTGTGTTTTGTCTGCATGTATGTAAGAGCATCTGCTCTTACATACATCATGCATCTGCTCATGGAGGTCAAAAGAGGGTACTGGATC